GGTAGGGCCAAACTGACCAAGGAATTAGCCCCTAGGGCTCATTGCTGCCCTGGGGCATGAATGGGCAGAGAATGCTCATGCAGCTCAGGAGCTGGATCAAGGTCAGTGGTGCAGGATGGACCTACTGGCTAGTGGATAGGGTAAAGCTTGCTCTAGGACTCTCAAGGCAGCCTCCCTTTCTATACAATAGGTACAGCAAGGTGTGGTGGGGCAAGGAGGTGAGAGTACCCCAGAGGCAGAGGAGGACATGGGTTGTGCAGCCACCAGAGACATCATAGCTGCCCCTAGGACTCCAACGTGTTACACATGGGTACTGTATGGATGCATAACTAAATGACAGCCCCTGCCTACCCCAACCAGCTTGCATTCTCAAAACTGAGACGAGAAGGATACAGTTGACTAGCAGTGGGACCACTAATAATAGGACAGTCCTGGAAAGCAGTGGTCACAGCATAGCTTGATTACAGTCAAATGTGTGGTACACATTGTAGCAGGAGAGATTACTGAAAAACAATGTGGTGGCCTTGCATGTGCTTTGTGGTGCTACTATCATGTCTGAGGGTGGCCTGGGGAAGTGTGTTCATGCCAGAGTGAGGATTTCATAACCACACTTCCCCATGCCACCCTCAGACATGACAGTAGCTCCACAAAGCACATGGAATGAATTTCTGTCCTCTCTCTAATGTAGTGGGGGAGACACCAGGTTCAAGCATCCTGGTTAAGGATCAGTGATGCAGTGGACCTAGTAGCCCTAAGATGGACCCCTTCATACCTTTTTCCCCTATTTAAAAACGCTAGTAACCACATCATCATGCACTCCTTTCCTGGGGTCCTGTAATATTGCAAATGGGGAGCAGAGTGATGGTATCTGAAGGAGACTGATGTGTGAGAGAGGGCAGGGGGAACCTATCTGGGGAACTGACACTGAAGAGCACAGCCACACTCCTGCTGTGAGTTCCTCAGCTGAGAAACCACCTCTGGTTTGGCCTGCATACACATCCCCTACAACACCTTCTCAGGACCACCAGCAACCCAGAGAGTGAACTGTAGTAGCAAAGGCACAATGGTGCATTTTAATAACTATGCCTTGCTGGTTAGTGGACAGTAGAGGGCAACCAGCTCCTGGTCTGCAGTCTGTTCTTACCTTGGAAAGAAGGACCAGGTCCAGGAAAGAATGAGGTGCCTGATGCTTGCTAGGCAGCACCAGCTTTGCTACTGGGCATGTGAGCCACATCCAGATATGTAGGCACATGCAGTTTGTGGCAGCACAAACCTTTTTGCAATGCCATAAACTGCACACCAGAGCATTAAAACATGTTCCATGCTACAAATTTGCAGTGCGAGGACAAATTTTGCTACCAGTAAATCCCGGTCGTAGAAAAAAAAACTGCAAAAAAAGCAGCATGGTACACACAAGAGCATGCACCAGCAGACATGGAGGCTTGGTCCTCCCAGAAGATACTCTGGCCAGCACATCTCCACTCCTTTAGTTGTCCCCTGGCTTCTCTGGCACAATGGGAGCCAGGAGGAGTGGGAAAAAGGCAGTTCCCTCAAAGTGGGGCAATTTGCCCCACACCGATGTGGACTCACAGGGGCATGCACTTCAGCAAAAAGTAGCAGCACAAATTTGTGAGGTGAGGGAGGTACTTTCAACTCCTGTTCAAGCAGGAATTCTGGATTCAAGGGGGCAGAAAGGGACAGTGCAGGTGGGAGCATGACACTGCAGGCTAGTGATTAGGGTACTCCCCTGGGAGGGAAGATCTGGGTTCTAGCCTCTACTCCCAGCTCTGCTGAGACATTGAAAAGTCATTGGATAAAATACATAAATACTAGGAATGCAGTTCCCCCTCTTCCTAGCTGAGTGTCCTAACCATTAGCTTACAGTCTTGCCCCTTCCTCCTTGTACTTCTCAGACCTCTCATCTCTAGGCTAAGCATTTAGCCTAGCCAATGGAGATGGACTGTCAAAAATCTGTCTCTCCTCCAAACATGCAATTTTAGAGGCATATTTGGTGAAATTTGGACAGGTTTTCATGGGAACGGTGAGAGGAAAATCCCTAACACCAGGGCAACCCGCTCTGACAAAATTCAAGTCCCTGCTTCAAACCATGCAAGTACTACAACTGCTTAATGAAACAGGTGTAAGAATTACTGGTATTTTCAACAGGGACAAGCAATAGGTTTTACCCTAATCTCATTCTTGGGGAATGGCTAAATATTTTTAGCTCAAACTTTCTAACACCTACATGCCTTGAGAGGGATGTCTGGCATGGATAATCTCAGCTGAAAGGCTTCAGGTTGGTAAACTTACAAAAATGTCCTCGCTCGGGACAGCCTTATCCATTCTCCTTCTACAGCAGGGCTAGATCCACAGTACAGCTTCATAATGGAGTTTCTAATATTTATATTAGCTTTGGATCAGGCTCAAATTGTATAAAGTGCTAGAACCATGTAAAAAATATTCTTGTAGACAGCAAAATAGGCATCTGATTTTTAGTAGAGGCCTACTCTTCATATCTCATATTCTTCAGTACCTTTCCAAAATACAGCCAGATCACAAATTGACTTCTTGGTTCAATTCTGTGTAGCCATTCTATACATCTTTGTCATAAAGAGAGGGTGAATAGGCTGTTCTGATACTTCGGGTACAAAATTATCCTGGAACCTGAATATCACAATATATCATCAGGAGGCCCTTTGACTGGAGGAGCAGGTGAAGGAGGAGGAAACTAGCTGCACAGTATGATATGCCATGAAAAAGGACAAGCCACATGCAGAAGGAGTGGGATCTCCTGGACTTCTTAGAGGATTCTGAACTAAGTCTAAAGATCACTTCAGAGCAGTGAGAAATCAGAAGCAGGTAAATATGTACGGGTGTGTTCATTGCTTTGTTCAATCTGCATTGTTCTTTTGCTAGTTAAAGTTGAGAGCGATATGAGAGTTTATAGAATCCCATGCAAAGCCCATAAATCTGTTTTCTACCACTATCACTTGTCCTTGCCAAAGTGAGAGATGAAACCAGGGTATACACAATGTTAGAGCTCTGGGAAAGATGTTTCAGGTTTCTGGTGTGTCTGGGGCTCAGAACTGGGATCCCGTTTCCATGAGCAAGTAACAGGCAGTGCATTCTGGCCGCCCAACCAGTGGCGGCCCCTGATTTTTAGTGGGCTGGACCCAAGGCCTTTTTAATTCAAATAGACTGAGCACCAGGTCAACCCCAGTCTGGGCAAGTGGCTTCTGCAGCACCATGTCAACCCAGGCATGGCACCAGCTGGCCAGGTGGGCACCTGGTCAACTCCGGCCTGGCCCAGCAGCTTCTCCAGCACCATGTCAACCCGGTTCTGGCCAGGCAGCTCCTGCAACACCATGTCAACCCAGTCATGGAACCGGCAGGCTGGGCAGACACCAGGTCAACCCCGGCAGCTTCTCCAGCACCATGTCAACTCGGGCGTGGAACCGGCAGGCTGGGTGGGCACCAAGTCAACTCCAGTGGCTTCTCAAAAAAAAACCCAACAGGTGGTGCATTGGAAATGTGCTAGAGAAGCCAAGGAGAGAGCCAGTGGTATGGCCTGTGAAAACCAAGAGAAGCTGAAGAGTACATAGGACCCCAAAACCACAACCTGGTGAGCATCTAGAAGCTTTTCTGGGGCTGGGACATTGATTCAGCACAGCTTTTACCCCTTGGATAGCAGACTTGCTTCATTTTAGAACCCTGATCCCTACAAAATGGATGAAGGATCCATTGGTTTTGCCTGGTTTTGTTCAAAGGCGGTGAGATTTGTCCACAGAAGTTGACTGGGTAACGCTGCTGAGCAGCTGACACCCCTCCAGAAACCCTCTGGGTCTGTGAACATGAGACAAAAAGTATCACCTGTCGGAAACAATAATGGCAACCACAGCTGGAACAATCCCACACCCTGCTTGGCTTTAAACAGTGGGATTAACTAGCTCACGGGAGAGAAAACACTGCCCCACTTGCTTTGTTACTACAAAGCCATGTGCTCCTAACAAAGCGTATGTCAATTTTGTTCGGTACAAATGCCTATTATGTGCAAATAACAGTTTTTGGGGGGCAGCTACTCAGCACATTTTGTGTATACTGGCTTGTGTATACCGGCTTTGTATGGGTGGATCCTCAGAACAGCTTTGGAACTAGTGTTAGTTGTTAAAATACTTTGGTCCAAATTTTCAGGTAGTCTCTAGCCCTAGGCAGTGATGTAGCAAGCCAAGTTGGCACTGGGGCAAACCCTGCTGGAAAGCAGTGGGGGGCATGTGATTCTGAGGGGTGTATGCAGAGGGTGTAGGCTCTGAGAGTGATGAAGGATAGGGGGATGCTCCTGAGAGCCCCAGCTCTCTTGGTCCTAAAGCAGCAGTAGCAGGGAACTATTTTGGAATCCTACCATGGCAATGCTGCTGGAGCACAGACTCGGCAGGGATGGAGGGGGGATTCTGGCTCCCCTCTTAACTTGGTGCCCCAGGCAGGTGCCTCTCTCCCCACCCCACTGGTCTTTGGAGAGAAGCACGGCCTGTAGGTCAGCCTTCTACCATCCCTATTCATGGGCTTGTGACACAGTGGCACAGCTGGGGTCCCCTACAACTATTCTTCTTCCTTGATTCTAAGGGTATAGGGAGCTCTGGGAAGCACACCTTAAATGAGAGTACCTCTGAGGCCCTAAATCATGCCAAAGGTTGGGCAGGCCCCATCACAATACAGGAGACATTGCTGGCATCCAGTCCCCCTTGCCCTATCCGTGCAGTAACTGAGAAGCAGGTCCTTTTATTTTTTTCACATGTACCACTCTAAAAGCTGGGGACAGTGACCTCATATCATTTCAGATTCAAGAAAAGTGATTCTCTTTCCTACCCTAGGAGGAGTTCATATTCAATGTTTAAATGGTGAGGTGGCAGGGAATAGAGCAAGGCCCGGTAAGAAACATTAATAAACAACAGTAGACTTCATTTCCTTTCTCAATTTTTTTTTTTCAAATGCTTCTTTTATTTTTATTTTTTTGTTTGTTTGTTTAAAAAAAAATCTTTCTAGGTTCAGTCCCTGCAAGCTGCTCATGGAGCCCAGCTGAAGCTCCTCTCACTGTTTCCCTGTAGAATTCTTCTCTATTCCTCTTCTACTGTTCCTCTTCATCATCAGACAATAAAAAGAGGATGTCCATTCCTGTGTGCTCCTCTTGGAAGGCAACAAAAAGGTCATCTTCTCTAGAGGACGCATTCTTTTCATTCTCTGAGTCTAAGGACTCTTGCAGGGCTTCTGCAGGTGAAATGCAGTGCTCATCACCTTGCTCCAGGGAGCCACAGTGCTTTGTAACTCTGGCAGATTGTTCCTGTAGTGATGGAAAAGAAGGATCCATAGGACTAACTGTTGTGGAATGAGATGTCTGACTTCTTTCCTCTGCCAAAGAGCCATCAAGAGGAGACTTGCTTAGACAGGTGTTAGGTAGTAATTCTGTATCTGAGCTTGCATCAGGCATACTTTGAGGATTGAGCATGGGGATGATAATGACATTGTTCTTATTGACATGGGCTGTCACAGGTTCTTGACAATCCTGGCTTTCTTGGAGTTCGGGTAAGTTGCCAGCCATGTTCTTTCTCTCCACTGAGCGCTGGCTGATGTGGAGCTCTGTGACTTTAATCACAGCTGGGCTGTTCCCAGTTCCTGGTTTCTCATTCACAATTCTTATGGGCTCCGCCTTTGCCAATGTCTCTCCAGTAGCCCTGGTAACCCTCCCTTGAACAGCCTTTAATGCCTTTCTGCCAGGATGCTGCTGGACTAGATTGGCATGGATTCCGGGTTCTTGTGCAGGTCTTTCTGTGTTTTTCTTGCCTTTGGTTGCACTGATAGCCTGGAGCTGCTTGGCTGAGGGGATGAGCTGTGCAGTGCTTGGCTGCTTCCGTTGCACATGACTTCGGTTTGCTGCTCTCTTCTGGGGAGGGTTCTCTCGATGTGTGCAAACTCTGTTGGTGACGGGCACTAACCTTCCTACCTTATGTGCCAGGTCCATGAGACCACATGGTGTCCGGAGTGTGCACAGTCTGGAGCTGTCTCCCAGAACCTTGCTGGGACTTGGGCAAGGAGCACGTGTGAATGAATTTTTCCTGCTTGTGAGGGGACACAAAAACAGTGGACAACAGTTAACAAAACTTCCTGCTGACAAAACCAAGTGGCAGCCTGATGTTCAGAAAGAAATCACTTGGCTGCCAAGGCACTGAATTGGTATCACCCAGTCAAACTAATACATTGATAAATATATCTACAGCCTTCTCAGCTGGGACACAGGCATGAAATCAGTGGAAATCTTGTCTGAGTCATGGCCTTCAGTCTGGATCCTGACTGGGAAATCCATTTAGTACATACAGTGCCTCCAGAAAAAATGCAGATACTTTAGAATCAGATCAGTATATCTCTCACTTCCTGGGGCATTTACTACTTTCCACTGGTTATGTTTAAAGGGCCCAGTCCCAATATTCTTGTAAGGATAAAATTCTGGAATTAGCATGAACTCCTGCTTGAGATCATGCTGCACTTTTTTATGCATGATGTGAGCGCTGCCAGCATCTGAGACACTGTAACTTTGAACGGAGAGGACTTCAATACCACAGGGGCTGCAAGATGAGAAACAGTAGGCACCTCTGTAGAAAGGGTTGGGTTCCATTACTAGGACCCCAGCTACTGAGCTGATTAGATCATATTTCCTGCATTGACACCGAAGCTGTCAGCATGTCCTATAGAGGAACATGTGAAAGAAGCTGTAGAGTACTACATTAAGGAGGTATATCAGTTTGGATAGTGAGGAGCCAGCTGGCATAGTGGATGGAACATTATATATGCACTCCATCGCTCTCATTATTGGTCTCCTTTGGCACTCCGTCCTCGTTGCATCTTCATGCATAAACAAAGTTATTATAAAGTACGTTGGCATTAAACCCACGTGACAAACCAATTTTTGCTGCGTTTGGCATGCCACTCACAATAAAGGGCAGGCTTTCAAAGAACAGTTTCTAATGAGGCACCTGAATTGGGATCAGGTTTTCCAAACAGCTCAGCATCCACCATGATAATCACGGTCCAGTTTTAGGTGCTGATTCCTTTTGGGAATCCTCACCTTAGAGTAGCATTCCACCCCTCAGATTGCTTCCACGTCCTTAATGGCACAATGAAAAACTGTCCTTGCTGTACCACCATCCATCCCCATGGTAAGATATTTTAAAATAAATAGGCTTGATGCTGAAAGACAATCAACTCCTGCAATTTGGACTGGGTAAAAAACTAACTCAGTTCTGGAGGAAAACAAGGTCATTGCCAAGAGACAATTTCTAATCCATTCTCAGTATGCCTTAAATAGTTGCTCAAAATTCCATCTGGGGCTATTATGAATTAATTACTCCATTAGCTTATGATGCAGGGGATGAAAGGAGGAGAAGAACCAGCAACTGGAAGGCATTAACATGCATCTCTGCAAATCAGATAATTAGAAAACATTTGCTTGCTGGCAGAACACTGCGTTTTTCCTTGCTATGGTGGACAACAGATCCATCTGAAAAGTGCAAAGCATGTGGCCAGATACAATGAAGTGTAATGCAGATGGTTGGAAGCAAAATATATACTTATAAGGGCGGTGTCCAACAGGATGGAGGAGTTGTGCATAATGGGAGCACTGAACTGCCACCTGCATCTCTTCCCTCAAGGACAGTTAGAAGGCAGAGCTGCTATGAGCTTTACTTTTTCAGTCAAGCAAGATCCATTTCCAATGGGCACCATGTAGCAGGAGATTTGGAAAGTGCTCTCCATCGTAAGTAAGGCCCTCATCCAACTTTCGCTGAAGGGAATAGAGTTCCCTTGACTTCACTGAGCTGGATTTAATGTAAAGACATAGTGCTGGGAGTTCACTTCCTCCTCTAATACCATGTTGAATAACTCAATTGTTTCAGCATAAGTGACATGCCATACACTTGGGCTCTTGCTCTACCTTGGCTTTAAATAGGATTCTGCAAAAGTTGTTCCAAATATAAGTCAGGTTCATCTTATCTTGGTATTTGAGCATGCAAAAAATTGGGACCTGAAAATTACCACCAGAGGTAGTAACAGCGTAACTTTAGTATTGAGAGGGCTTAGTCAAAATTATCCCCTGCTCTCGGTAGGATCCCTAGGGTATAAACAGTCTTTTAGTCTAACTTCCCCCCCCCCCCCTCCCAAATAA